GTGGCAGTGGGACTACTCCAGAGAGAGCCAGAGATTTCAAAGGAGAAGATCCTCTAGTTCTGGGCTTAACCAGCTGCCCACTGCCTTCTTCCCCTCTCCTTCACACTCCTCCAGAATCTAGCAAGTGCCCATTTTGACTCATATGTCCAGGACAGCAATCCAGTAGTAACCTCTCCTTCTCTGTCTCCCCTGTTTGGGGACAGGCTGGCCAACTTTTACAGTGTTTGGGTCTTGATTACAACAGAGAACTAAGACTTAAGCACCTTAAGATCAGGTTATGTCTTACAGTTCCTCTCTACCCTCCTACCTGATCTCTTTTTAGGGACCCCTCTCACGAGACACTGGGTCCTCAAGCAGGTTCAGTCTTTACTGGCTTTGGGGGCCATTGGGGCAGGGGTTCTACTACCCATATTTCCTCATCCCTAAGCCAAAGGCAGGGACGAGACCTATCTTCAACCTCCATGATCTCAACAGATACATCCGATATGTGAGATTCCCTTCCCAAAAATCTTCCTTGCCTTGAATCACAATGACTGGTTTGCTGTCTTGGACCTGCAGGATGCTTATTTCCACATAGCAGTCCTCCCAAGCTACAGGAGGTTCTTTAAATTTGTAGTGGTTGGCTGGCACTGCCAGTACACTGTGAGGCCTTTCAGCTATCTTCCACTCCCCAGGTTATTACCAAGTGTATGATTGTGGAAACAGCATACCTCAGGAAGAAGGGAATTCATATCTTCCTGTACCTAGATGAGCGCTTACTGAAAAGCGAGTCCAGAGAGGAAGTCCTCTCATGTTCACGTCACACTGTGCCTATGCAATTGTCTAGGTCTCATCACGAACAGCAGGAAGTCAACATTGGTTCCAGCTCAATTCTTTGAGTGCACTGGGACCTTGATAAACTCTACGAGTTGAAGAGTGTTTCTAGGAGATCCAGCCCTATGTCTGGAGCTGCAGTCTCAATCACAACCCAAATATACCTGAGGTTGCTAGACCATATGGACATAGGTAGTCCAATATGCCAGGCTGCACGTCTTAAGTTATGGCTGAAGTCGATCTATTATCCAAATCGCTGTCCCCTGGACATGCTGGTCTAATTCCTACCACTAATTTCTTATGATGGACAATTCAGGACAATATGTGCCAGGATATTCCTTTTGCCTCCACTGACCAGGACCTATAGTTACTAATGCCTCCTTAATAGGTTGGAGAGCACATCTGGACTCACTGAAAGTTCAAGGCCTGTAGTAGAATAAGAAGCTTCTCTGCATATTGGTGTCCTGTAGCTTTGTGTCATCTACAATTCGTGTTAGACTTTTCAGGATCACATCAGGGGCTCAGTGGCTCTCATACTCACTGACAATACCACCGTGATTATATGAACAGGAGGTTGGGGGGAGAGCATGCTCCAACATGGTTTGTCAAGAAGCAATCAGGCTCTGGCAGTTTTGTACCAGGGAAAACATTACCCCCATGACCAATCACTTAGCGGATCACCTCATCAGGAATTTCTCCCTGAATCACGAGTGGTCTCTGAAGTCGAGCGTCCTGCGGTCCTTCTTTGCAGTTTGAGGCGTCCTGACAATCAACCTGTTTGCCACAAGAGAAACAAGAAATACCGGCTGTTCTGCTCTTGAGGGGTCTCATTCCGGGCTCCTTGACCAATGCTTTTCACCTGAACTAAGAATCGGCACTCTTGTGTGCTTTTCCTCCAATTCCAATCATCCCACAGGTCATTCTCAAATTGACTTTGGGCCATCAATGTGGCCGAGACAACGTTGGTTCTCTGACCTCCTCGTGTTATCAGTTTGGCCTCCCATATCCCTTCCTCTTCATCCTGGCCTCCTGACTCAGCATCACAGTCAGTTTTTGCTTCCAGCTCTCAGCTCCTTGCACCTCACAGCATGGATGCTTTGTGGTTTGATGAAGAGGAGGAATGACGTTTGGAGGTGGTCTGACAAGTCTTTCTCAACAGTAGGAAGCCTCCATCAGGGCAGCCTTTTCAGCCAAGAGGAAACAATTCTTAGTATGGTCGTTAGCCCAGGGAGTTCAACCAACCTGGGCTTGTATCCAAGACATCTTAGAGTACCTGTTACCTTCAGTCTTCTGATCTTGTGCTTGGTTCATTGAGAGTCCACCTGGTGGCAATATTGGCATTTCATCCACCTATCCATGGGAAGTCTGTTCAAACTTTATGGCAGTGAGGTTCTTGAAAGGAGCCATTCGTCTCTACCCACCAGCTAAAGAGATGGATCCTCTGTGGGACCTTACTACTCATGGGAGGGGCTATGGCCACGGGGTGCGAGTGCAGTACCCATGGGTACTGTAAGGCAAAGTTCTCCGGCTCTGGTGTATGGGGTGCGCATGCCCACATGAAATACATATCTGCATCACATCTCGAAGAACAACCATTCTAGGTAGATAACCATTTCCCCCTCATATTTGACACCACCTTTGGTATCTCAGTATAGTGATTGGAACTTTTAAATTGTTCCTTCTCGTTTGACTTTCTGCTTTCTTAGAGAAAACATAATCAAGCAGATGAAGTGCGTAAGTCTCTTCAAAGCACAAAAATGCAGGTTTGAGGCTGTAATTCCAATGATTTCAAGTAGATATAGTTTAATCTCTGAGGTATTTTAGGGAAATGTTACGTATAGTAGAACCTTGTTTATCTGGTCTAATTGGGGCTGGATCAGATAATGACTCCGGATAAACTGGAGAATGGGAAAATGGGATGCTGCAGTGCCATTTAGTGGTCACAGGAGTGATTGCCTGCTTCTTGCCCAGGGGTCTTGGTGGTTCAGTAAGTGCAGAGAGCTGGTTAAGGGAGGGTTGGATAAACAGGGTTCTACTGTAACTAGTGATCTACTGTTAATAGACAAAACTGCAGAGAGAAACTTAAAAAAAAAAGTGCCCACTTTGAAATCCCACCCAAAATCTCAAAGAACAAAGTTAACGAGGACAAAAAAATAACACCAGTACGTGGGAAAGGCAGTTCAGCAGCAGCAGCGGTTCATGCTCTGTGGGGTTTTACCTCTTCTCCCTAAGTATTGACACCTCATCCCAAATGTGGAAAGTGTAGAGTCTCAGTTCAGCAACACCTGCCAAATTATTGCTTAAATATCTTCATTGAGCAAAGGAACTGCATCATAGAAATGTCTAAAACACTTGAATTTCATGTGTAAAAGGAAAAGTGTTAGGTTGCTGTACGATCAACCTAATTCTAGTGACTATTGTTTTTAAAATATTTTGCTATGAATTAATCTGCCAGTTCAAACCAGACTATTGAAGAGGACACAGTATACATTTTAAAATTATAGATGGCCTTTTCATGTTGTAGTTGTAATTTTTAATACCATATCTCTTTACATGAAGGTATAGCAAATGAATCTAAAAAACTGTATGGAGTTCAGTTTCACCCGGAAGTTGGCCTTACAGAGAATGGAAAAGTGATACTGCAGAATTTCCTCTATGATATTGCTGGATGCAGTGGTAACTTCACAGTAGAAAATAGACAGCTTGCGTGTGTTCAAGATATCAAAGAGAAAGTGGGTTCATCAAAAGTCCTGGTAAGTAGGTTTAGAAAATGTTTTGCAACTTCCGGTCTTATGAATAAAACTGACACTTGTAGTTACGCTGGTTACTTAAAAAAAATGACAGTTTTCATGCTTCAGGGTATAAACTGGCCAGCGGTTTAGGAAGCTCATTCTAACGTACTGCACAATTTGCCTAGTGCACTGTTTCACTTTTCATTTTCTTTGGGTATAGCAAGAGTGGGCAAACTACAGCCCAGGGCCACATCCGGCCCTCCAGAAGTATTAATCTGGCCCTTGAGCTCCCACCGGGAAGCGGTGTCTGGGGTTTGCCCCCGCTCCGGTGCTTCAGCTGGGGAGTGGGGTCGAGGTCTTGCCCCACTCCACACTGCTCCCAGAAGCAGCGGTATGTCCCTCCTCTGGCTCCAATGCGTAGGAGCGTCCAGAGGGCTCAGCACGCTGCCCCCACCCCAAACGCTGCCCCCACAGCTCCCATTGGCTGGGAACTGCAGCCAGTGGGAGCTGCGGGGTGATGCCTGTGGACAGGGCAGCGCACAGAGCCACGTGGCCACACCACCACGTAGGAGCTGGAGGGGGGACATGCCACTACTTTCTGGGAGGATCTTGAGGTAAGCGCCGCCTGGAGCCTGCCTCTTGACCCCCCTCCCATGCCCCAACTCCAGCCCTGATCCCCCTCCTAGAATCATAGAATCATAGAA